CTAGCGTAATTCCGAACCTGTAAACTTACCCTTACGCGGTCCGATCCCGAACTTTGATTCTTAGCCTCTTCACCCATACTTCAAAACACTGATTGTAAAAAAACTCGCCAACTCTTCAAACGGTCTCTTCAGATAATTTTTAAACAAATGTTTCATTACTGCCTCGGAAACGCACGCATAAACTACTTTCTCCGTTCAAAATATATTATATATTTCACAAATATTTTGCTATACTATGTTCAACAAAAACAAAAAACAAGTTAGTGTATATATGATAGTGCAAAATTATGTGCCATGCGCTAGCTACTGATGTAAGACCATATCTATGTAAGTTACCTTTGTTGTTTATATATGTGTATATGTTTGTATTGTATATGTATGTATATATATATATATATATATATATATATATATATCCGTATGTATATTTATATATATACGTATTATGTGTGTATATATGTATATATATATATATATATATGTATATATATATATATATATATATATATATATATATGTCTGTTTATGTGTATATTTATGTATATATATATTACGCTTTTGCATGTTTGTATATATTTCTTTTTACTTTTCATTTCTTTTGTTTGTCTATCTGTTTAGTTATAATTGTTATTGTTATAATTATATTACTTATATCTGTAGTTCTTTTTCCAATTTCTGTCATTTTTTCCTAGTTTATATTAATTTTTCAATGTTCATTCTGTAGATCTACTGATGATGACATAAAATCCTATGTCGAAACGTTTGGAAAAAATTAAAAATTAACTACTAAATCTTTGCCTTTTATTTGATGTATGCCCTTGAAGAACTTACTCATATATATATATATACACCCAGGCCTCGCTATACGGCCGCTCTTTATACGGCCTTTCGCTATAACGGCCCTCTTTAATTATGGTACGTTTTCGATATACGGCCTAAAATGTTTCGCTATAACGGCTTTTTTTCTCTATGTCGATATATTGCGCAATCTCGGTTTTGAAGATTTAAACGAATCTGATGTGCTGGATCTACTTGCAACTGATAGGGAACCCCTTTCATATGAGGAACTCATTCAGTTGCAAGCAGAGCCGGCAATTGATGAAGATACAGAACCTGTTGTATCCAAACAGCTAACATCAAAAATCATGTCGAGCGCTTTTTCATATTTTGAACAAGGTATAAACATCTTCCTTGAAAACGATCCTGACATCGAACGTAGCGCTTATGTGTATCGAGGAATTAACTCAGCCATTAACTGTTATAAATCACTAAAGGAAAAAATAGACAAGAAGGCAAAACAAACAAGACAAATTTTTCAACCCACCAGCGCAAAATGATGGTGACAGTGATCTGTAGGTTTTAGTTGTTTCATTTTTATTTGAAAATTATGTAATGTTTTTGAAGTTTTTTATTTTATGTAAAATTTATGTTCTTGTTAGATATGTTTATAATTTAAACAAAATAAAAAAATAAAATGCATTTTGAATGAAACCATATTATATATTTATTAAATTTGGAACCGATCCCATTGAATTTGTATGAATACGTATTAGAATAATTGATTCGTTATACGGCTTTTCGCTTTACGGCCAAGTTTTGCGGAACGTATCTAGGCCGTAAAGCGAGGCCCCAGTGTATATATATATATATATATATATATATATATATATATATATATATATATAGATATGCATACACATCTACTTACGTACAGATATACATACATATATACTCATATAATACGCATACATATACATACTGTTAGGAACTACTATGTATTTATCATAATATTTTATGTTTAACAAATTTTCATTAAAATATTGTGTCAAAAATTCATTCATATGTTTGGCAGTGGATACGGAATATTTACTCAAGTCAATGAAGTGTTTTGGGTCTGAATTTCTCTACGGTGCTCCAATTCGTATGAAATTGTTCTCAAAATAACGTCGGATATCGATGAAAGAACTAATTGTAAACTAGCTGTAAGTGGAATTCTGTCTTAAAGCAATTAGGTCATTGTGCCTTAAGGCAAATTGCTGGAACTTCCCGTACCAATAATTATTATTTTTTTTAAAAACGATTAACATTTTTGAAAAAAAATTACTTCAAAAAAATTAGATTTTTGAGAAACTAGGAATTTGACAAAAAATTACTTTTTTTAAAAAAAAAAATTTGAAAAAAAAATTTTTTTTTAAAGAAAAATTTTTTTTTTGAAAACAAAAATTTTTTTTGAAAAAAATAATGTTTTCTTCATTTTGACATATTTTGGAAATTCTGAACTTTTTAACTTCCCGTAGGGCAAGTTATAGTAATCGCAAAAAAATCGAAAATCAAATTTTTTATATATCTTTACGTTTCAGAGGTTTCTGAACATTTTGGCATACCTTAGAAAAAATGGATGTATGTGTGTGTGTGTGTGTGTGTATGTATGTACGTGTGTGTATGTATGTGCGGATACAAATTTTCGTCGACGATTTCGGGAACACGGATCAACCGATTTGAATAATTCAAAAAGCATTCGATTCGCATTGATAAGGAGTCGTGCTGCTTAGTTTTTGGCGAAGGCAGGTCGAGCCGTTCCAAAGATACGGGGCAAAAAGTTCCGAAAACGTTAACTCAGTTTTTAAGAGAACGGAGCGTCCGATTTTAATAATTCAAAAAACATTTGACTTGTATTGACAAGATGAAGAATTGATCAAATTTTCATGAGGGCAGGTCTAGCGGTTTCGGAGATCTAATGAAAAAAGTAAAAAAAAAGCCATTTGGTGGTCAAAAATGATCATTAGACATATGCACATCAAGTTATCAGATATTTTATAGAGATTTTAACAATAAGTATAAATTTGGTTTACATTCCTATGGGTTCCGTACCAATGTTTACGCGTTAGACGGCGACGCGGCGCTTACGCGCTTTGATATTTCGTCTTTATGCAGTTAAAGCAGTACGATTGCTTTGAAAAAAAGTTTAGATCTTCCAAATATGTCAAAATAAAGAAACATTTTATTTTCAAAAAAAAAATTTTTTTTTAATTTATTTTTTTTTTCAAAAAAAGTAATTTTTTGTTCAATTTATAGTTTCTCTCAAAATCTTATTTTTTCGAAGTAAAAGTAAAAAAGTAAGTAAGGCACGATGCCTTAATTGCCTTAAGACAGAATTCCACTTACAGCTAGTTTTCAAAGCAATCGTACTGCTTGAACTGCATAGAGACAAAATATCAAAGCGCGCAAGTGCCGCGCCGCCGTCTAACGCATAAGCATTGGTACGGAACCCATAGAAATGTAAAAAAACATACCTATTGTTAAAACTCTATAAAATATCTGATAATTTGATGTGCATATGTCTAATGATCATTTTTAACCGCCGAATGGCATTTTTTTTTACTTTTTTCATTAGATCTCCGAAATCGCTAGACATGCCTTCATGAAATTTGATAAATTTTTCATTTTGTCAATACAAGTGAAATGTTTTCTGAATTATTCAAATCGGACGCTCCGTTCTCTTAAAAACTGAGTTACCGTTTTCGGCACTTTTTGCCCCGTATCTTCGGAACGGATAGACCTGCCTTTGACAAAAACTAATCAGCACGTCTCCTTATCAATACGAATCGAATGTTTTTTGAATTATTCAAATCGGTTGATCCGTGTTCCCGAAATCGTCCACAAAAATTTGTATTTGCACACACATACATACATGCACACACACACACACACACACACATCCATTTTTTCTAAGGTATGCCAAAATATTCAGAAACCTCTGAAACGTACAGATATATAAAAAATTTCATTTTCGATTTTTTTGCGATTACGGGAAGTTAAAAAAAAATGTTTGAACTTTTTCGATATGCGTCAACAAAGTTTTGAGGCTAACATAAAGAAAAAACTTAAACACCGTAATATTTTGTGCAATTAGTTATATCACCAAAGTCATATTATGTTACCAAAGTATTATTTTATGTTACTTAATTACCATAGTTATAAAGTCTACGTGTATGTATTTATGTACGTATATGTGAATGTGCATATATGTGCATGTATTGAAGAGATTAATTATTGGTTCTCTTCTTGATATGTAAAAACAAACACTTTTTAAGATTTATTGATTTTATTTGAAATTGTAACTTACATTATTGGGTGTTGATATTTTTAATCTGTCCTTGTTGGCGGTTCAAACATAACTAACCCTCGCTCAATAATAATCAGTTTTTACCTGATTCGACCCTTATTGTCGGATAAGGGTCGATTTATAAAAGTTTTATATAAATGGTGTCAACATTCAAGATAAAATTACAAACATATTTTAATGAAAATTTGTTAAACATAAAATATTATGATAAATACATAGTAGTTCCTAACAGTATGTATATGTATGCGTATTATATGAGTATATATGTATGTATATCTGTACGTAAGTAGATGTGTATGCATATCTATCTATATATATATATATATATATATATATATATATATATATATATATATATATAGATAGATATGCATACACATCTACTTACGTACAGATATACATACATATATACTCATATAATACGCATACATATACATACTGTTAGGAACTACTATGTATTTATCATAATATTTTATGTTTAACAAATTTTCATTAAAATATGTTTGTAATTTTATCTTGAATGTTGACACCATTTATATAAAACTTTTATAAATCGACCCTTATCCGACAATAAGGGTCGAATCAGGTAAAAACTGATTATTATTGAGCGAGGGTTAGTTATGTTTGAACCGCCAACAAGGACAGATTAAAAATATCAACACCCAATAATGTAAGTTACAATTTCAAATAAAATCAATAAATCTTAAAAAGTGTTTGTTTTTACATATCAAGAAGAGAACCAATAATTAATCTCTTCAATACATGCACATATATGCACATTCACATATACGTACATAAATACATACACGTAGACTTTATAACTATGGTAATTAAGTAACATAAAATAATACTTTGGTAACATAATATGACTTTGGTGATATAACTAATTGCACAAAATATTACGGTGTTTAAGTTTTTTCTTTATGTTAGCCTCAAAACTTTGTTGACGCA